GTTGAGAGGAGGAAGAGTGAGGAATAGAAGAAAGATGATTGAATAGAGATTCTAGAATCTCATCTCTGTTAGTTTTGCTTGGTTCCTAGGGGTTCTAGGCTTTGAGTACAGTCTATGAGCTAAAAAATATCAAACTTATATCTTGTGATCCAAATTTCCCCTGTACTAGCTTACTTTTGACATTAAAACTCATTTACTTAATTAGATTTACTTTAATTTTAGCCAAATTGACCATGCATAAAACTCTTCAGGGTTTTACTTTTACAAATCTCTGTCATTTAGTTTTTACTTTCAGAATTTGTCCCATATTTTTTCCTTTTTTCTTTTCTAGTACTTTAGGGCAAATTTATCTTTTTAAAAAAAAACACATAAAAATGTCTTTATTCTTTATACCTTCCTTACTGAAAACATACATTTTACTTTTTTTGTATACAGACTTTTTAGAAATATGTGTTTTCTCACAGAAAAGTCGCCCGCCTGACACAAAACAGGTTTATCAATAAATCTAAGTATTTTTTAGCTTCTCTGAAACAAGAAGCAAAAGACAGAGAAATCTATGTTTAGTAATTAATTTTTTAATATTTTATCTTATGTAGAAATGACCTGGATACTCAACAAATTTTTATCATTTAACTTAATTTAGTAAAACCCTAAAGTTTCAAGTTACCAAAAAGATTTTGGAAACTTTTTCAAGTATACAGACCATAAAATGTAATTATTGTATCCAAAAAATCTTACCTATTTTTATCTATTTAAATCATTTGTTTCTAACAATTGTGTTTAGCTTACTCACAAAAAACTTCACATGACATTAAAGTAGTTAGCCATTATCTTATGTTTTAATATGCACACCATAGTACATAATTATTGTTAAAAATTTCCCCCAAAACATTTTGTGTGTGTGTGAGGAAGATCAGCCCGGAGCTAACATCTGCCAATCTTCCTCTTTTTGCTGAGGAAGACTGGCCCTGGGCTAACATCTGTGCCCTTCTTCCTCCACGTTATGTGGGACACCACCACAGCATGGCTTGACAAGCGGTGGGTTGGTGTGTGCCTGGGATCTGAACCCTGGGCCACCACAGCAGAGCGCGTACACTTGACCACTATGCCACTGGGCCAGCCCCTCCCCCAAAACTTTTATCCTTTTTACATCTGTTTAGTTTACTTGTTTTTAATACTTAAATTTAGATTGCCTACAAAACCCTCATGAGACATCAAACAAAATCTGCTATTAGTTTAAGTTATTTTTTGCTGACAAATTTTGTAACAGAGATAACATGTTTGTACCGTATTCAGTGTTGATAACTCTGAAAAGGTATTTATTTCAATCAAACCAACAAACTTAGATAAGCTTTTATTTACCAAGGATCATTTTATATCTTGTTAACTTGAAAAACACTTGGGTTAATTTCTATTATATTTAGAAATAGTTTATGTAAGCACTTACCTCAAGCCCATTAAATAGAGATCCTTTAGGGGCCGGCCCCGTGGCTTAGCAGTTAAGTGTGTGCGCTCCCCTACTGGCGGCCCAGGTTTGGATCCTGGGCATGCACCAATGCACTGCTTGTCCGGCCATGCTGAGGCACTGTCCCACATACAGAAACTAGAAGGATGTGCAACTGTGACATACAACTATCTACTGGGGCTTTGGGACAAAAAAGGGAAAAAAAGGAGGAGGATTGGCAATAAATGGTAGCTCAGGGCCAGTCTTCCTCAGCAAAAGGAGGAGGATTGGCATGGATGTTAGCTCAGGGCTAATCTTCCTCACACACAAAAAAATAAAATAAAATAAATGAAAAAATAAAAATAATAGAGATTCTTTAGAAATATCATCTGGAGGGAGACAAATACATAGAGAGACTTACATACAGATAGACAAAAACAGAGATCTTTAAAAGTTTAGCCAGGTCTCAGGTACAAAACTCAGAAGAACAGTTGGATCCAAATTGCTTCCTGGCAGATGGACCTGCTTAGATGACCAAAGATTTTTACTAAAGATTCCTTTTTTCTTTTTCTTTTTCTTTTTTTTTTTTTTTTTGCTGTGAGGATCCTTTTTACAGCTGTTTTTGAAATCCTTTTATCTTTTAGAAGTTTCTGCATATTAGTCAAAGATTGCACTCCATTGTAAGGGGTTTCATTTCGTTAGCAAGGCTGCTGACATCCTCCAGTCTGGCATGTTTAATTATTTAATTATTTTCTTTTAAAGAGGCAGTAAAGTATTCCTGATTTCATTTAGAAGCCTCAAAAGATTAAAATAGGCTTCTCATTTGGTTGGTTAATTTTACAGCTGGCTTTTTCTAATTGCATATATAAATACACCAATTTGGGTAAATTGAAATTGCCCCATTTTGGCCATTTTCTCTGTGGAGTCTAAAGAATATTGTGGCCATGTGGTGTTGCAAAAGAAAACCATCTTCTTGTTGGACGTGGGTATGTAGCTGAAGTCAGCCCATTTATCCAAGAGGTGGCCCAGAGGGCTTTCCTTGGGGACAGATGGAGTTTCCTCCATTTCAGAATTGCAGACATACAGACACCCAGACACAGATAGGATCCCAAACAGAAGAGACAGATGTACTCAACAGATTCTGAGTAGTCCTACAACTATGTCTCTCATTAGTCAATCCACAGATTCAGACAGAGATATGCCTCTGGGATTTCACCTGCAAGAGACAGGGAGTTCATGGCAGTCCTGGCTGAGGTGACTTACTCTACTTCAGATTGAGCCCATCGACTCATCAGAAAAGCAAAACACACAAACAAATCTAGAGCCTGTTTCCTTGTCACAAGAAAAATGTGCCTAGGGCCAGCTGTGCTGGGTCAGACAGAAAGTACTGAGGACAGTCCCTAGGGAAAATCACCTAGGTAGATGCTGGACTGTTTCCTAGGAGATACCAGTTGGCCCGGGGCCACAGAACCACGGGTAAAGAGCCTCCTGGCTGGCTTGCCAAATTGTTACCAGACACCAACATAGGTTTGTTTACCTGCCACACAAGAGGGACCAAAAGAAAACTGGACACTGGGCTTGTGGCAAGGAAAGGGACTTTTATTATTAAAAGGCAGCAAGACGAGGAGATAGGAGTTAAAACTCAGATCCACTTCCTTGAAAGGAAAAAGGTAGGGGTTTTCATCTGTGGTTTTAGGTAGGGGAGTGGGAGTATATGCTGGGGTTTTGGGTGGGGGGGGCATATGCTGGGGTTTTAGGTAGGGGAGTGGAAGCATGTGGCCTTGCTGGTTGGTGCCTTCCCACCAGCCTGTGTTTGGTCTTGGACTAAATTTCTTTTCCCGTCACTGTCTGGATTTTTCTAGTTGGTTTTCATTTTCAGCCTGCATTTGGCCTCGTGAGGCTGAATCTTGATGTCTGGACCTCGACTTCTTGGGAAAGACAGCTCACTCATATACTAAGGAAGAACAGAAACACCTGGTTAGTTTTGAACAACAGTTGATTATGCTGCATATGCACAGCTGCAGTTAGCAACGTTTATCTCAAAGTATTTTGCTCTAGGGAAGAACTTTTGACTTCTTTGCTCTCGGTTTCACCCCTACCACCCTTAGTGCATTAGTTGAACAGGCCAAGGCCATCTCCACCTCAAGACCTTTGCATTTGCTGTCATCTTCCTCCAGGTCCAGGTCTTCACGTGCTTGACTCCATAACATGATTCAGAAATGCTCATATATCCCTGTCTCAGAGGGATGCACTTGACTCCCCCCACCAAGGGTAACTATACCATACCCCAGTGATTCTTTATCCAATTACTCTGCTCTGTTTACTCATAGCTCTTGAAACTATCTGAAGTTGCATTATTATTTTTCCATTCTTCCACTAAAGAGTAAACTCTACAAAAGTCACTACTTGCACACTATCTTATACACTGCTGTTCCACCAGTGCTTGGAGCAACAAAATAGGTACTCAATAAATATTAGTTAAAAGAGTAAATAGATGGAGGGATGTATGAGTGGATCCAGCAAAAGTATAAATATGTAAATCAGGGCCGGCCCCGTGGCTTAGCAGTTGGGTGTGCGTGCTCCGTTGCTGGCGGCCCGGGTTTGGATACCGGGCGTGCACCGCTTCTCTGGCCATGCTAAGGCCACATCCCACGTACAGCAACTAGAAGGACGTGCAGCTATGACATACAACTATCTACTGGGGCTTTGGGGGAAAAAAATAAATAAATAAAATTATAAAAAATAAATAAATATGTAAATCAAGCTAGCCTAAGAAAATCTTTTTTTCTTAATACTACTCTTGCTCAATTTCAAACTAAAACTTTAAGAAATAAAATTAAATATAAAACTTGAGTGATGTTTATAAATATATATTTAAATCTTCATTGTAATTTACCTCCTTCAGAAAATTAAGCTTTCTTTCCAAAAAGGTGGGAAATGTTAAATGATGATTAAACGAAGCAGAATGTGGTTTCCTTTGAAACCTGAAAAGTTTGAAAGTTACGTTTTTCATCAATAATTTCATTCACAATAAAGAATTTCTTAAGGTTTTATTATATATATGTCCATACTTTTAAAACTATGATCCAAGAAACACTGGGAAAGGGATAGTAGAGGTGGGATAAGGAGGAAAAAAAGCTAGGTGGGGCACTGTTTTCCTACGCTTTTTACAAAAACGTCTTTACTACCTCCTGGTAAGACATCTAGAGGAAAAGGTGATGAAGTTACATATGTTTGAAAGTCAATGATTTGGTCCACTTTCCAGAAAATAAAAAACGAAAAAGAGCTAACATTTATTGAGAGCTTACTCTGTCCTGAGCACCATTACCTAGTTTAGTCCTTTCGATATGCCTAAATTACTATTATTTTCTTTCTTTTATACATGAGGAAAACTCAAGCATGGGATTTAATGCTGCTTGGTTAATTATAATATTCCTGAGGTTGGGATGATGGGAATCTTAGTTAAAACAAAATGTATTTTATCTAAAAGGCTAATTTTCTGCAGAAAAAATGATGGTGGCGAGATTATTTTTAATTATTTTTCTTCCACTTTTAGAGAACAACTTGTAATGGAGCCTTCACCTCTTGAGTTACCAGCTGACACAGTGCAACGAATCGCATCTGAAATTGGATGTCATCCAACAGATGAGAGGGTCGCCCTCCGACTCGATGAGGAAGATGAGCTGAAGCACTTCAGGGATTATTTTTATATGCCCAAAATGCGGGATCTGCCTCCAAGTAAGAAGACTGAAAAAGATTTTATTTTTCTTAATCAATTTATTAATTTATTTTTGCTACTGCGTGTGTTTATCATAAATCTTTGAAAAGCATTGTTCCGTTGCATAATAGTGCCGTTACAATTGTGTCTGAAAAACAGCAGGTTCCTGGTGCTGCTAAATCAACCTGTCAGCCTACCTTAGCTTCAGGTTCTTTATGTTTCCTCTCCTTTTCTGAATAAAATACCTACAGGGTTCTTATATTGTCATCTATTTCTCTGAACAATAGAGTGACTGATTGAAAATTATAGGCAGATACATTTACTTGTTCTCTAAGCACTTAGAGCTCAAAACAATTCCTTTTCAATACAGTATTAGAATATCTCTTCTTTTGTGGCACCTCATTTATAATAGCATGATATTTGTGTTAGAGGAAATATTATTTTGGGACTTGAGTATACTAGGAGTGATGTTATGTGAATAGCCACCTTTGTGTGCTGTGAGTAAAGATGACATCTATAAGACTTACCAAAAAAAAAAAGAAAGAATCAAGGACTAAGAAATGCGTACTGCATTTTTAAAAATAATACAGTGAGCTGACTCTTTTCTTGGTTTTGAGCATGTCCTGTTTAGAAAAAGCAAAACATAGGTAGCACAAGTATAAAAATATAAAATAATTTTTCGTATTTGGCTTTGCTCTGTTTTACATCAACGAAAAAGGCTACCAGATTGAATGGAATTGATCCACCAAAATGGGTTTCACATACTTTATAATAGAGTCTAATTTTCATTTTTCTTCAGATTAAATGAGGCAGTTATAATTTTGGATACTTTTATAATCCAAGAGCATCAGCTAGTATAATTTTAGGATGAGATTGGGTCACAGAACTGTCTTACTGGCTTATATGTTATTATGTAACACAGGATAGCACCCTGTAGAATTGTGGAAGAATGAAATAAGAGAAAGCCCTACCTCCAGTTTAAAGTTATTTAATATCAGGGGGAGATGTTGATAAAAATGACAGCTATGTGAGATCAGATAAAATAGGGCTATAAGTGAAGTGATCTGAGATCACAGAGGAAAAATCTTCTAGGTCTTTCTAGAATCTAGAATGAAAGTGCATTTTGATTTGAATCTCAATGGATAAAAAGAACTGTTAATGTTTGCAAAATGAGGAAATTATATCTAGGGATATTCTGTCAGAGATGGGAAGGAAGGGGCCCAGTAACATGCAGCACACAGTGTAGAAGTCCTCAGAAATACCCATGATCTACTTGAGAAAAGTCAGCTCTAGTGACCCTGCCCCAGTGTGCTCTCCAGCCTATGGGCTGGCTGCCTGGGAGGTTTGATGAGCTCAGGGATGACAGCAGAACTCTGGAGTGCCACAGAGCTTTAAGTTGCCTCCTCAGCATGCAACAAGCACTATAAATCAGGAATTAGGGCTCTAGAACTTTATGACATTTATTGAAAGTTATAATTTCCTCACAATTTAAAAAATTTTATATTATTCCTTTTCATGAGTGATAAGAAAAACAGACATGACAAAGTAAGCAGACAAAAATACAAACAAAACCTTTCCAATTAGAGTGGATGATAGTATTACAGAGAGAAGGAAGAACGTGGCAGAAGCACGGAGCAGAGAAAGTGGCTACTGGTCCGTCGTGGCTGCAGTTTGGGCTTAGATGCTTTGGGAAATGATGCTAAATAATGGCCACATCTAGACACCCATTTATGAGCAATGACTACCTCTTGGATACTGCAGGTGATACATTAGGCAGTTTTGGTTTCTTTGTCTGTCTTTCTTTTCTTATGATGCCTTTCTTCTATACAATACCATCAGGAATTTGAGGTAGGGTGCAACCCTGAATTTCCAGGAGCAAAAGACTGTTGAAATGAATGGGTACACAGAAAGTTAAAATGTTAATTTGAATTTATTATTTTTCCTGTTATTGGTCCTCAGACTCATTAACTAACATAACTTTCATCCTCATGTTGAGTCATTTTCATTCAATAGTATTCATTAGTTACCTTTTCACGTTCCTCCTCATGCTTTGAAACTTGCTTTCTAATCCATCTCTCCCACTCCCAGCTCAATGAATTTGCGACATAAACAACTAACAAACTCATGGTATTTGTCCTGGGATGCACTATGGTCTGAGATTGCTGTGAATTCCTGGCTCTAATTCTCTAGTTGTGTGAATTTTGAGAAGCAAGTAGCCTCTTAGAGCCACAGTTCCTCCATGTGGAAAAGACAAATACTGCTCCAAAACGTTCAGGGTCTTTCTGAGGGATGAAAATAATATTATGTTAAGTGAACCTCGAATAGGGCCAGAACGTTAATTTCTTTGCCCTTTTGTTATAGACTTGAACTTTAATAGGAATTTTTAGTACCAGATCAACACAAGAACATTCTAAGCGTTGAGATACTTTAATGAGAACCCAGGTAAGGATAGTGTTGTACATATAATCACTTCATTATACTTAAAAGTTGACTCTAGGGCCGGCTCCGTGGCTTGGTGGTTAAGTGCGTGCGCTCCGATGCTGGTGGCCCGGGTTCGGATCCCGGGCGTGCACTGAGGCACCGCTTCTCCGTCCATCCTGAGGCCGAGTCCCACATACAGCAACTAGAAGGATGTGCAGCTATGAAATACAACTATCTACTGGGGCTTTGGGGGG